TGATATTCAGTTGTGTAACTCGCGGAATTTCCTGTCCCCCATGGTTAATGCGCATGCGCGAAGCAAAAGACCGTGTCATGTGTTTTTTTTGTCTGAAAGCATATAGGAAAATAAAAAATTTGGACACTAAAACTACGATTTTAAAGAATATATCCATCAGGAATGCTGGACTTACACAAATTTTACAGGAAGGGATGTCATTCTAAATTTTCCACAAGAAAATGCCTTTAAGAATCGGTTGATATCGACAAAAAATGAAATTATATGACTCGAGGAGTGAGAAGTGCCATGGCCCATGACGTCCATGCTTCAAATGTGAATACGAAGAACAAAGACAAAGTTTCAGAAACTATAAAAAGGTGTTTCCAACGTAAAGTCACATCGAAAGCATGTAAACTTTTAGCACTACATCCTAGGAATAACGATGTATGTTTGAAAATATTGTTTGGTTTTTGGTTAACACTGAGCCTGAAGCCTCGAATGATGAAGTTTAATTTTCGATTGTTCGAACGTCAAGAACCCTTGTCAGTTTCGGGTGAGTTTCTTACTGTTCATGTTGTTTTGGCTGTTTGGCATGGAAGTTGCAGGATAGTTTGGACTTAGGTTTATAGAAGGCTATATTTTAAACCAATGACACTGTAAAATTGTTTTTTTAACTTTTTTTAAGTTTAACGCCGGTTCCTGCAGACGCGAAGAACATAAACTGCGGAGATTTTAGCCACTACAAATCAATTTATATCAAACATGTTTATGTTCCAGTTACGAAGTTACCACGAAGAGGAATTGTGTTTTTACATGTAAATGTTTAAAAACAAATGACTTTACAACATTCTAAATGGACAACTATATGGGAAAGGTTGGATGTTTGGTTTTCTTCAATATACAGTAAAACAAAATGAGTTTTTAGAATTTAATGTAGAGAGTCTAATATTTAATATACAGTAGTATCATATTATTTTTCAATCCTGTGTAATCATATAAAAGTTTAGGTACAATTACGTACTAAATAGTATTATAGTAAAATATATTAACGAAAACTAAATGCCTATTAATCTGTTTTGTTGTGAAATTTGTCTTTTATATTTTGAACTACTAAAAAATTATGTGTTCCATACAAATGTGTATTTAATGTGTATGAATATATAGTTTTTGTGACATGTACATTTAGCTCTGTCGCCTATGTGGTATATGTATGAAAGGCTGCGAATGTAAACAAAATACTTGCATTTACAGTGATGTTATTAAATAAAAGGTATATAAATATTATTTTCAGACTCTGGGCTGAGCACCCATACTGTAAACCTCCGAATATAAGCCCTCCGAATATATGCCCCCCCCCTGTGTACTAATGCTCACCTCATTCCAAATATAAGCCCCCCCTGAATATAAGCCCACCTGTTTATCACTATTGTTTATCACTTAATTACCACTATTTATCACTATTACTATGTTTATTACTATTACACTAACACAAAAAATCATCCATGTATAAGCCCCCCCCTTGTATAATCCCATCAAAAATCGCTTACAAAATAATATAAGCCCAAGGCTTATAGTCGGAGGTTTATGGTTCAGTTCCATCAACTAGTACTACCACTGTGACCATCAACATTCCTTTAAGAATTTGCGGGCTCAAACTCATGCCGGCGGCCATTTTTCGGGACGAATAGATTAGGTCATCTGGAAAGTGTTTACAATCCATCATATATTTAAACCATCCTTTTATAAATAAATCCTTGCTCTTTTTGTCTGATTTTTATGAGAAATGTACCAAACAAGTATTTTTATCACTATTTGATGTATTGAGTAATATGTAAACAATAACAAAAGCCCACAATGCATGACCCTGACACTAATCCTTTAAATGATTCAAGTACAGAGTCTTCAAATTCAGTTAATGATGATGATTAAGTTACAGGTATTACACCACAACTTCTTCTTCAAAGGATCTCCTGCAAAAAATATTTTAACCAATTAGATTTCTGAACAGCTTTAAAAATGAATTAATCAATGTCCCACTAATATTTAGGTCCATCCTCAAGATCAATGTAAATTTATTCTGGAACACAACATAATCCTGTTGAACCTACTAATCGAGGTTAAGCTTTGTTAAGGTCATTTACTTTATAATTTTTTTGTTGAACATAATTCAACTGTTCTGCTGATCAGTGGCATGTTATTAAATAATAAAAAAAATATCAGGGGGCCCCCAGTTCAAAATTTTCGAAGGTCCAAAAGCAAAAGCGAGTCGAGTGCCATATCATGCACAAGTTTTCTAGGGGGTCCAGGGCATGCTCACATGGAAAATTTTTGAATCTAGACTCTCTCAAATGCCATTTCCCAGACTTTGGGGAGAGATTTTACAGACTTCTGATGGTCAGAAAACGACATTCTAACATATCAGAAACCCTGGCCAATGTTTTTGCTCTACAGCCTGAGCCTGGGGGCCCCCATTTGGCCCATTGGGGTTGGGGGCCCCCGGGTTTGCCCGGTCCGAGCCCATAGTAGTTATGCCATTGCTGCTGATTCAGACTTGTCAGATCCTTGTCCAGGTACTCAAAAGAACACCAAGAAAGGACCTGTAATGGACGAGAAAGACTACAAGCATGAGGAAGTTGAGAAGAATTTAATGTCCATGAATGCACTGACATATGTTGCAGGATACCTACTGCGAAAATGCCTGGACAAACAGAAATGCCTTACTTGTGCACATAAGCTTACCTTGACCAACAGCAGCCAGCTACTGTGCTATTTTAAAGCTTATGAAAACAAGAGCACTGACTCTGGAGGACTGACTGGTCCTCAAGATGAATTTATTCAGTATGTCACGAAAATAGAGAGCAAAGTTGTTGATTAACTTAGTTGTTATATCCAAAGATCAAAAATTGCAGAGCACATAATTGCAAAATTGCCAATGTTTTGTGTATCAGAGTGTTCTTATTTCCCAAGCATGTACCTCAATGAGTTATTTGTAAAAATGCGTTTGCATTGCATTTTAAAGTTCAACAACCAAGAATTAAGAGCAAGAAAGACAGGAAAAAGAAAAAAAACAGAAAGTATATCAAGATTCAGCACTTATGAAAACTGAATGAAAATGAATTATGTTGAATTTAATATTTCAATATTGTTGACCGACAGACTGTCTTGGATTGCTTTGAGTGACAGAACTGTATTGAGATTTGAACATTTATATTACTACATGTTAACCTTAAAATGGAGAATGGTTTACATATCCAAACCATGACTTTGTTATTAATAAAATGAGAAACAAGACATTTACATGCCAGTTTGTTTAGTTGATAATCAGTTTCGAAATTTTATGCAGCAGCTATGACAGCCTCCGAGCCTCGTGGTATTTACACTTGGTCAGTATTTGATTTGCAATTTCTAACGAAAGAAATTTGATATGAAACAATAATACATGTTATATAAAACACTTACCATTGGCTTGCAAAATTTTAACCCCAAAACCTCCATCAAGTACACAAACTTTATAAAATTAGCATATTTCACCGTTCGAATGCTGTTTCCCTTATGTTTTTGTATTGAAATCTGCAAGCGACACGGTCTTTCGCGATTTCGTGACGCGACAAAAATGACGCGAGCATTCGATTCTTGGGGACGTCATAATCAATACTGACGGCCGCGAGTTACACAACTGTATATCATTAAACTGTGTGCTCCTGCATAGTTCCTTAGTCGATCCTGAGACAACTTGTGGTCACTTTATTTGTCGAGCTGCCGCGATTAAATGAGCCCGACCTTGAAGGTTATTGCTGTCTTAATCCACACACATATTTCTTTACAAAATATTAAAGATGTAGTACAGTTCGTTTCCACGTGTCTGCTTCGTTTATACATGTTTTACACAGTTCACACAGTTTCTTCGGTTAGCCTTTTCCCACATTTCTCATTCCCGCCGTTCCCCATTCTATACGGTTAACTGATGTCTGATGCACGAAAACGAGGCTCTATAGCCAAAGTGACGTACTTTCCGGAAGGGTGTATTCACCCAGTCCAGAGCACCCAGTCCCTGATTCTCCACGACCCATTCCCGCACTCCCAACTTCTTATTTTCTCCATTCACTGCTTGCTCCATTTCTCAGTTACCCCACTTCCCTGATTCCCTATTTTAAAGATGGCCGGTAGGGCTAATCGAAATTTAGAACTTTTACTAGTCTGTACTCGTCTGCTACTCGTTTGTTACTCGTCTATCACTCGTTTAGAACGTGTGTACGTTCACATTACGCCGCTACCGGTTTGTTTACAAATTAAATTTTCACTCATGTAAACCCAAAATATCTCAAATAGAGCGAAGAAGTTTAAAACGAAAAGCATTCGAATTTGATCTATTCTAAAACTACACCCGAGTGACAGACGACTACAGACGAGTAAATTTTCTAAATACGACTAATAAACGGCATTTTGACGGATTGTTTGTAATAAATGATGCAATATTTTTCAAAATGGCGATTGGCAACTGCAGCATGTGAGATTTCTGTCTTTAGCCGCTATTGTATGTGAAGATGAGAACCGCACTACTATAATCATATAATTATTTGTAATTTTCAGTCAGTTTGGATCGTACTTGTGTAACGTACTTGAGTAAAATTATACTACTGAAAACATCACGTGATTGAAACCCAAGAATTTAATACTTTGCTCAACGACCAGTAGCGTAGCCGGCACGACGATAACATTTAGTCCCGCTATGCAAATATTTTTGTGTTCATTGACTGTGAAAACAATCAATTTCTAAAGGAATGAACAATGATAATAATTTTGAATTTGAATAGCGGGACTAAATTGTCGGGCTGGCTACGCCACTGTCAACGACGTAAAGTACGTTACACAAGTACGATCCAAACTGACCGAAGGTTAAATAATTATACGATTATATAGTTGTACAGTTCTCTCCTTCACATACAATAGCGGCTAACGACAGAAATCTCACATACTGCAGTCGCCAATCGCCATTTTGAAAAATATTGCATCATTTATTATAAACAATCCGTCAAAATGTTGTTTATTAATTTATTAACTTCGCCACTTGAATTACATATAAATATTACTCTGTCTAACAAAACATTACAACATATTAAACTAAATTAAAAGTATAGTTGACAGTTGTGGCAGGGCAACCGCAACAGGTAAATGCCAATTACTGCGGACCCAGGTATACAAAAGAAAAGTAAAAAGACAGTTCTTTTAATTGTGCAAGTGATAGGTGCATGCAAACTTCGAGCCTTACTAGAATGTACCCAAACAGATTTCCATGCATGTCCGAAGGTTATCAGGATCGTAACAGTTAGATAAAGCCGAAGAATAATACTTCCACAAAATAGCCTTAAAATATAACAGGGAATTGTTCTTTTTACAAATATCATTACGTAAAATGTTCCAAACTCTAGTGACTCTGTTCATATAGGAGGTCTGATACGTTTTTGTACGACAAACGTTTTGTTGGAAAGTTATTTCATCACAAGGAGTAGAAGATCGTGTTAATCTACTCGGCAATTTGGGCTTGGGTAACACTTCAGGACTGATATCACTAAGCTATTCAAAGCTTTAAAAAGCAGGACCAAATCAAACAACTCTTGCCAACAAATAGGGAGCAAATTCCATTCCATTAATCTTTCTTGGTAAGTGGCAGCACAGCGGAATGGTAAGTTTAGAATAAACTTGGTTGCTCGTCGTTGTACTCTTTCTAATCGCTTAATGCGCAAACTAGTTTGTGGTGCCCAAAGTTGCGTTCCATATCCAAGATGGAATCTTACCAAAGTCAGATACAATGAACGACGAACAGTTACACTCTTTATATCCACAGTCGATCTCTTAAGATAACACAGTATTTGATTGGCTTTAGCACACTGATCCGTTTGGTCAGATATGTTTTGAAAAATCTTGGTGTCGTCTGCAAATGATGCTAATTTTGACGAGGACACATAATCTGGTAAACTGTTAACATAGAGTAGAAAAAGAACAGGGCCTAGAATTGAACCCTGAGGGACACCAGATGTTACCGGGACACAATTCGATGTTTCACTGTGTACGGTTACTCTTTGCTGACGATTTGTCAGATATGACTGTATCCATCTCACAATACCACTTGGTAAAACCGCATTGATGAAGGGTGTCCACTAAACTTCATGACTGACTCTGTCAAAAGCCTTGGCCATATCTAAGTAGACCACATCTACCTGACCAGAGCAATCAAGTTGTTTCCCAATAAAATCTAAGACTTCGACGAGCTGGGTGATGATACATGACTTCGCTGGTGTAAATCCATGCTGAGATTTATTAATGATAGTAAAAACGTGATCTTTAATCAGCGACAAAACATGCACATCGTTCCCAATCTCGTACCCAGAGCCATCGTTGACGATGGCTCTGGGTACGAGATTGCATCGTTCCTTAAAGGTCCAGTTACACGTGCGATTTTTTTCTCGCGCCGGCAACGCAACGGGTTAAATTTCATTGCGTTACTCGCGCGAGTCATGAAATTGCCCGTGTAACATATCTGGCGCGGTAACGCAATTGCAACCCGATATTCTTGGCAATCGTTGCGGAAAGTTGAAATGCTTGAACTTTCGGCAACGATTGCCGAAAATATCGAATTACCCAGGCATTGTTTGAGCAGGAAACGCATGGGCTATTTTAAGATAGCCAATGAAGAATGAAATTCGCTTCTGTACGGACAGCGTGCTGTAGCGCTGCTAAATATCAAAGCGTTAAACAACACATTTCTGCTGGCTTGATTGATTCACGCATTATTGTGTCTTTCTTGTACAGCTTTTCAGATAGATTATCAACTATCTTTTTGAAATGATCAAAATCCATTCGCATAAATTTTTCAAATCCTGGTGTGTCGTGGGCAGCCAGATTGGGAAGAAGCTGATCGAAATAACCTTTGTTTTTTCTCCCTAGAAGCCAGTGCCGGCTCCAAATACGTTTCTTTTCTTTAACCACCTCGTCATCTTCTTGTCAGTGACATTTGCGAATTGCGAAACACTAGTGCCGGATTTTTTCGTGCAAATAGTTGCGACGCGGCTAAGCTATCATTGCTCGTGTCACCACTTCACTCGCGCGAGTAACGCAATGAAATTTAACCCGTTGCGAAGACGTTGCGTTGCTGGCGCGAGAGAAAAATTGCACGTGTAACTGGACCTTAACTTTGGAAATGACACTTAGTAGCGATATCGGTCTACAGTTTTCTACATGAGATTTTTCACCACTCTTAAACGCGGGGACAATGTTTGCCAGTTTCCAGTCGTTAGACGACGCCAGATTCTAGCGATTGATTAAATAAAACACAGAGGGACGGTGCAATTTCCTGTGCAGTTTCTTTCAAGATACGTGCAAGAATTCCATCTGGACCAAACACTTTATTTACATCCAGGAAGATCAGTGCTTGAAAAACCATATTTTGGGTACTAGACGGGAGGTCAGGTATTGTGGATGAGGATTGTTGCCCCCTTACCGTCGACGACGCTGCAAGAGATACTATAGGATCCGATGTAAAAACAGATGCAAAATATCGATTAAAGAGATTGGCAATGTTAAAACTTAAGAGGAGTATCGGCACAAATTCTATCATTATCATCAGATTTTGCAGACATAGTCTGAGGAATAGAACTAGACTTGATTTTAAGTTTAAACAAGGACCAAAATCTTTTTTAGTTATAGTCTGCACGTCATTACCGATTATGAAATAAAATTCCCTACTCTCTTAAAAGGCGTTTAATACGTGATCGAAATGAGGTGAATTTCTCTCGTAAATTAATGGTAGGATGACTTGTTAATTTGCGGCGGATGAATAATTTCTTTTTTATAAAAAAACTGAACAGATTTGAAATTGCTCTCAATTTTGCATAACAGCCATTAGTATCCAATTTTTTATATATATAGCTTCTTTGGGTACTTATAATGCAGATATAATGTTTTGAGTTAATGGGTGAAAAATCGGTGTTGGGTGTTTAATTGCGGCACGAAATTTCAGACAATTTGCTTCAGTTTAAGCCCTTTAACTATTCACGCAAACTTACATTTTTTCCTAAAAAATGAGCATTTGCATGCTTAATTATACATTTGCCTAATTTGCATATGTTAGCAATATGCAAATTAGGTAAAAGATAGTAAAAGGTAAAAGCATTAATTAAGCATGCGAAAGGCTGATTTTTTAGGAAAAAATGGATGGTTAAAGGGCTTAAACTAAAGCAAATTGTCTGAAATTTTGTGCAGTTATTAAAAACCCAACAAATTTTCCATCCATTAACTCAAAATACGATTAAAGCTTTTAAATTTTGTGCGCAAGCCATTTTTAGTTTGTTGGAAAAGACACCCCCCCCTGGTTCACAAAATTTGAGTTCGAGAAATTTTTTTCATTATTCTACATTATAAGTACTCAAAGAAGCTATATGCATAAAAAACTGGATACTAATGGCTGTTTTGCGAAATTGAGAGCAATTTCAAAGCTGTTCAGTTTTCTTTATACCCCCTGTAGTTATCCAATGCGATATGATACCTTTTCTTTAACAATTTAGATGGAACAAAGTCTTTACTCTTTAACCGCGGCAAGATAAGAATCTTTCCAACATGCCCAGGATTCGTTTATGTCATTGTTAATATTTATAAAATTTA